TATCCTGGCTCTGGCATCCCGTCACGCCACACGCCTTTAAGCTGTTAGCAGCTGGGAGGCACCATCTTATCTGGAGCAAGTGGGCGGGGGGCAGGAGAGGGTCTGATGGGGGCGGGGGTGGCACTCCTCCGAGGCCTGCCTGTGTGCGTTTCCTCCTTGCCTGGCTGAGCTCTGGCCTATGTCCCCTGTGCTGGCTGTCCTTTTCTGGACAGAGCACCCCTCTGATGTCCCCTGGAGAGAGAGGAGGAAGGAGCTACCCTCCTGTTCAGACTCCTCTCCATCCAAAGAGGTGGACTGGGCGTGAGGAGTCTCAGCCATGAAGGGGTCAGGGACCTCTGGGGGAGGGTGAACAGACACATACGAAATGGAAACGGGCAGGGGACACCGTGGCCAGCACCAGGAGGGGCTCTGAGGGGTCAGGGGAGACCGGCAGGGGGCCGATAAGTGTTTCCTTGAGCTTGCCTGTGCCCCACCCAAGCTTGTTGAAGGAACAGACCGGCCCTGGCTCCTTCTGGGCCAGCATGGCGGGGGAACTAGGGCAGAGGACCCCACATCTCCGGCATGTCTTTGGTCAGCCCTGTGGATCAGGTTCACAATGCCCTGATTCTTTTCTGGGTTTCTGCTTGGAAGGTGGGGGCAACCATCTCCTGTAGGGCCCAAGACAGAGCAGTTGAACCCAGGGACCCTCCTGACCACTCTGCTGCCAGGTGCCTCAGGGGAGGGCAGCACTGCCAGCAGCCTCAGCTGGGTGGTGGGACCTAGCGCCCTGGGGAACGGCAGGAGTGGGGAGGGGGCAGCCGCGAGCAAGCATGGATTAGCATGGATTGCGCAGGCCACAGCAGGGTGGAGGCCCTGGCCCCTGGAAGCCGCTGCCAAGCTGGTGATGATGTGAGAAGCTGGAAGTGTCAGGAAAAGCGTGGAAATAGAGGGAGGCCAGGTGGAGGGGAGCTGTCCCCAGAGGGGAGGAGCCAGGGCTTTCGAAGGAAGGGAAGGGATGGGAGGAACCTGGTCCCTGGCTGCAAGGAGCCTGCGGGCTCTGGTGGCAGTGAGGTAGGAGACAGGTCTCTGGGGTTCCTCGACCACGCTGGCTGGGAACCCCTCTCCCTGCTACCCTGACTGCACTGAACCCTCGAGATGGGGGAGGGCAGAGTAGTTAGCGGCCTGCACAGGCCTCCCTACCCCCTTTGGAGTTCCCTCCCCCACTAACCCTGAGGTCCCTTCCCCCCAACCCAGGGGGTTCTCATATCTCCTTCCGTACCTGCTTCCAGCCCGGCTCCCGACTTCATTTCCGAACCTGTTTGGAAATAAAGCAAGCGTCCACAGCCAGGGCCTGGCTGGCCAGGGTGGGGTGGGACTTGGGGGACCACCACCTGGAGGGGTCTGGGGTGAGGGGGCTCCCTCCTCAATCATGTCTTCAGGACTGCCCCATAGACCCAGGCTGTCCCAACTGAACTTGGAGAGATTTAGGGACTCCAGGGGGAGGGG